GTCCTGGAACTCACTATGTAGACCAGGCTGGCCTTGAACTCACAGAGATCTGCCTGCCTCTGCCTTCCGAGTGCTGGGGTTAAAGGTGTGCGCCACCACACCCAGCTAAAAAGTTTTTTAACTAAGACATAAGGCATGTAAACTGTACATTTTAGTAAAGTATTGTGAAATGTCGAGGGCATGGAATCATTTTTGTTGTTTTTAACTTGTGTGTGTTTGAGAGTACGTGGTTTATTAGCACGGGGTGGGGGTGGGGGTGTCCCTGCCAGAGGAGCATACCAAGTATCTTACTCCACTGTTCTCCACCTTAATTTTTTTCTTGTTTTTTGTTTGTTAGACTGTTAGAGGCAGGGTCTCCCTGTAGCCCCAGCTGGCCTGGAACTTCCTATATAGATCAGTCTATCCTCAATCTCAGAGACCCTCCTGCTTCTGCCTCCAGCATGCTGGATTAAAGGCTTGTGCCACCATGCTTGGCCACCTTATTTTTCGAGACAGGGTCTCTCACTGAACCTGAAGCTCACTGTTTTGGCTAGGTTGGCTGGCCACTCAACTCTCAGGATCCAACACAGGGTACAGACAGTGCAATTGTGCCTGGTTTTTCCATGGGTGCTGGGGATTTAAACTCAGGTCTTCTTGCTTTCATAGCAAGTGCTCTTAACCTGCTGAGCCATCTTCCCATACCCAAGAATCATCTCTATTTGCACAGGGCTCTTTCCCTACCTAGCGTGGTTTGCTAGTTTCAGCTGTAGTGCAAGGACTATCCTTGGGAGTTCAGACGTTGTAGCCAGAGTCCCATATCTTCTCTAAGTCCTACCTAGAACCCAGGAACTCATTTCAGGAGGCCTCAACTGCAGGTGGAAGGAGCACTTACAGCTGAGTGAGCCGCTGCGGAATCTTTCTAACTTATAGTCCATTCTTGGTCATCTAGAGCTTTCTTACTCCTAATTTGGTAGCAATCCTTAATTACCTGCCTTTACATGTCTTAATTTCCAAAAAAAACAGTGGGAGACTTCCGCATCAGTGTTCTATTAGTTTTACATTCGCTGATAGTTACAGCAGGGCCTGTGGGTCTGAGATCCACAGCCTGGTAAGCAGATACATTGGCTTCAGGTGGGCAGCAGCCAGAACACCTGTGAGAACAGTCTGTGGTTGCCATACAAGCAAAACGGTCTGGCAGAGGATTCTTTTTGAAAAGATTTTTTACTTTAATGATGTATATGTGTGATGTATATGTGTGATGTATATGTGTGATGTATATGTGTGATGCATATGTGTGATGCATATGTGTGATGTATATGTTGATGCATGTGTGATGCATGTGTGATGCATATGTGTGATGCATGTGTGATGCATATGTGTGATGCAT